AGCATAACATAGAGAATTATTATTTCCCTTTTATCTAAAAAATAGCTTTATTTTGTTGACATATATAGAAATAATTGTTAGCCTAATATATTCGTGTAATAATTACTTGAAGTATGTCAAAAATAAAAACTAATAAAAAGCAAATGATTATAACAAAATTAATAATTGTGATTTGTTGTTCAATCAAATATATATACACCACCCAATCAACGTTATGATAAAAATAATTATTAATCTTAACTATTTAAATATTCATTCTTGCTTTTTTATCAAACAAGAAAAAAAGGGTAGCAAAATTTTTAGTATTTAGTAAATAAATTGAAGAAAAAATTTTTTAATGAAAAAAAGATTGTTATAATTCTTGAAAATTTACAAAAGTTTAGACTTCTTTTAGATAAACAATATAATTTATAATATATTATGTATAAATTATCATTTAATTATAACTTAGAATTTATAAATATATGATTATATGTTAGATAAATAATTAAAAAATAAATTTAAAATTATGAAAAATTTAATAAAAATCCCGCACACTGTACGGGTTTTAAAAAACTAGTTTTTTATATATAAAGTTAGATTATGTTTGAAAACTCCCGGTGATTAATGGGTTTCTTTCAAAATTCTCATGTGTAGGTTATTTTTTTATCTCTCTAATTTTTTGGGTTTTTATGTTTGAAGTTATTGTGAATTTTATTTCAAGTGTGAGATATTTGTTTATTTGTATCCAAAATATTTATTTTATGTTACTTACCTGCATGAGAAAACTTATATGAAATTTTTTAGGTGAGATTTATGAATTTTTTTCTAAAAAATGATTAACCAAAAACTTTAATAAAAAAATTTAAACAGATAAATTGATAGAATTTAATGTGAACACCAATAATATATAAAAAAATAATTAAAAATGTTGTTTATATTTCAAAATTAATCAATACTTATTCAACGGTAAAATTTTAGCAACGTTTTTGATAAAAATATCTATATAAAAATATAATATTATAATTTTTTCAAAATTTGCTACTTAATTTGTGTAACAAAACCTTTTACTCTATCAGTTTTAATTTTTTATTTTACTTTTTATTTAATTTTTTTAATTAAGAACTTCACGAACCTTATCTAAAAAAATTTCATCTAAGTCTTTCGCTTACACGCAACTGCTTGGTTTTTTCTTTTATTGATTATATATGTGATTGAATTTTGTAAATTCCTAGGTTTCCCGGCATGTATTTGCCTTTTGGATATTGCAATGATGAAATAACCCACAAGTACGAGGGCAAAACTGCTATGAGCGAAGCAGTGTTATGAATCCCTTCGCCACGACAAGTATTACTTCTTTCTACAGCTTATTCAAGTTTTCCAATCCCTATGTTTTTAATAACAATGGCTTTCGTGCTCGTGTAATATTTTGCAGAGTCCTTTTTCAGGTAATGCATATACTAATCTGTTGAAGGAAGCTGAATACTTTATGTGGGCTGGTTCAGAGATGGATTCAGTAAGAGTTAAGGATAATATGTTTCATTCTTGTACTGCTCTTCATTCTGCACATTATTATATTGGTAGCTGAAGTAATTTTTTTTCCTCTCATGTATTATAGGTCCGGGATGTGGAAAAGGATCTGACTGAAGCTCAGAAATGGGCACAAGGAATAAGAGACTGTCTTTCTAAAATTGACAATTGGTCTCCTGGAGGTGATTCTGAGAAAGTTTCACTTAAACGGGTTAAGAAAGTGCTTAGTTTTGATCCTCTGCCCTGTAATGAGCCAGGACATCTCAAGTTGAAGGTGTATTAGTGTAGTGATTGTATTGTTTAATCTTCCTTTTTCTTTTGTCTGCGTATGAGAACTCATGTAGCTGTTTATTTTGTGGAGGATTGCGCTGAAGAGGCCAGTTTGTTGGTTCAGGATATTGATGCTGCTCTATCAACATGCTCCGAGGTGTCTCTAGACATGCTTGTACATATTATTCCAATCGCTTAAATTAAACTTTTAGATTTTCAGAAGAGCTTATAGTTTGGTCTAGAATGATGCTTCTCTTCTCTCCCATGATATTGATAATTATTTTCATCGTTTAAATTCCAGATTGATGAGTTGGAGTTATTGTATTCAAGGGCTTACAGCTCACAAATCCATGTGAAACAAAGTGAGAAGTTATCATAGAAAATATCTTTGGCTAAGTTATATCTTTTTAACATTCATAAATTATTTTTGTTATCTCTGATTGTATATTTTCATTCGGGATCCACTTTCATCGTTGAGGATCTTTAGGTCTGGATAGACAGTGCAAGAAAAATTATCTCAGTTAAACGTCCTGCAGCGATTGAGGTTGACATTCTTTGCGAGTTACAATCAGAGGTGATTGAATTTCTTTATCTTGTGAAACAGCTGTCTTCTTTGAAAAAAAAAAAAAGACCTGGGAATATGGTTGTTATTTTCTTTATATGATATTTCATTATTATTTGGATAGATATTGGAGCTTCAGGTCCAAGTTCAGGAAACAGAAATGATTTTTAATCTAGTAAGCCTGGCTGAATCATGTTAGAATCGGTGTACATTAAATGCTTCTGATACTCTAATGTAGTGTTTGGTATAGGATGATCACTTCAAAAATCATGATAATTGAACCATGGTGATTAGATCATTATGTTTATTGATTTAATAATTTAATTATATTTTATTTTAAAATAAATAAATATTACTAATATTTTAGAAATTGTTATCTATAAACAGCCTTAAAAATATTAATTTGTCTAACTATTACAATATGCATTATTGTTTTTATATTTTTATAAAAATAACATTTGATTTTTAGTAATACTAAATAGAGTGATCTTTAATTCTTAAGAATTAATCATTATTAATCAAATAAAGTAATTTCAGTGTTAAGATTACTTTAATAATAAAATTACCTCCGATAATTACATTATCCGACTGATCTTGCAAAAGTTTTCAAATGATATCTAAAGGTATTCACTTTGCTCTCTTTTTTTCCACTTATAAGTGTGCCTGAATATTTAAGAACTTGTACTTTGAACTTCTGACTTGTGCAGGATGTTGATGTGCTTCTTCAAGAAATGAAGAGTTTCAGTGTTAACATACCAACAATAATAGTAGATATGTAAAAGATTTTTTAATGATTTTTCAATGATTATGGTCATTTAAATTATTTATTGAAACGACAAAAAAATAATGCTTAAGGTAATTGGCAACTAGATAAGATTATGTTGCATAATATTTTAAGGCAGCTAAAATAATATTATTATATAAAAAATTTTTGCAACTGAAAGAAAAAATTCTTAAAATAAAATTAAAATGACATTTTATCATTACGAAATATGATATGTAATTAAAATAATATTATTATGTAAGAGTTTCTATAATCAAATTTTATAGTTGCTAAATTGAAGTTTATACAATGGCATTTTGTGGTTGCAAAATAATTTTTAGCAACTACAATATTATTGTTACGTTAAAAATTTAGCAAACAAAATAATATTATTATGTAAAAATTTTGCAACGATAAAATAATATTGTATAAAAGTTTTGGTGTCCAAAATTTATTGTTGTTAGAATAAAGTTTATATGACGACATTTTATCGTTGTAAAAACATGATTTATATAGTAACAATTAAAAATCGTTATAATGTATATATATATATATATATATATATATTTCAATGACAATATAATTTGTGGCATTAACTCTTTTTCAATGGAGTTAATAGCAATGATCTCACAATGACAAAAAATCATTTTAAAAAATATTTAACAAGGATAAAGTGCTATTTTGTAACAATGTTGACCATTACTAAATATTCACTTTCTTGTAGTGTTTTCTCCCAAGAAATTAAGGCTTTTTTGATATTAGGATTCCCATCACAATTACGATTGAAAGCAATATCAATAGTAATCATGCAATTGCAAGTTTGATATGTTTTTCTTATTGAGTACAAATTCACCATAGTCAAAATTTTAAATCGAAATTTTACACATTATTTGACATTGCATTTGGAATTAAATTTAGCAATTGCCATTAAATGCAGCTCAATCACATTCATAATATCAGAAGGTTGTTTATTATTGTATTTCTTTTTAAGTTGGAGAATTGCTGCTTAAAAAGAACCTCAATGGTGGTTGTAAGGATTAATTTGATAACTCATATTTGATCAACTATATAAAAAATGAATCGTTTGATTCATTGTTGTATCGTATGTACTGAATGATGGTCTGATTCATTACCTTATGTCAATTTTCTTATGCTAGGAGGAGTGCTAATGTCTATGCAAATAATAACCTTGCTATAGTTGATTGTGAAGTGGGACACCAAAAATTGTGGTGGAAGTCTCTTCCTGAATTCTTTTGTGCCCTCGACACTGTTTCAGATATCTAATGAGATTCTGCTAGTTTCCATTAAAAGAATGTTCACACAAAGCTATTAAACCAGGCACTCAATCACACCAAAACACCATTACAATATGCAACCAATCATAATATAAGTAAGGCCTAAGCAATACGAATGGCAACAAATGAAACTTTGTTTCAAATTTAACAAATTACAAAACAATTTTATAGCAAAGATAAGATGTTTATTCTCCATACGACATCAAACGGATTTCACACTCCCACCATCTTTTATATAGAGTAATGTACTTGCCTCCAACAGGTTGTCTCAATTATTCCACTTGATTATCATCCAATTCAACCTGGAACAAAGCACACATAGATAAAATGAAATTTTCTTTATTAAAAGAAAATATATATGTATATATAATGCAAACTAGATTTATAAGAGATCAGATGATAGTGTATATCCTCAAATTGTCCAGAAAAAATTGCAAATAAATAAAAAATAAAAAAGAATTCATTATAATCCAAGTTTCTATCATGTAAAAAATGAAATAAATAAATAAAATTAAACAGTATAAAAGGTCTAGCAAAAAGAATTATAGAGACGAGTGTTTAGTAGTTTACCAGAATTATTGTTTCTTCCCATCATCAAATTTTATAATTTTTTTGGCCATTTAGGTGGTGGTCTCTCTTCAGCACTGTCAATCTCACTCAGCCCTGCCCTCTTCTCATAGATATCTCTCTTTCGCTTTCCAAGGGCACCACCATTCCCTGTAGACGCTGGACTGTTGTGCTTCTCTTGTATTTGTTCCATCTCTTCCAAATCTTTCTTGTACACTAATCGAAGCCCATACTTCTTCACTTTGCAATACGACTCGTTTCGTATTCCGTTTCGTATTCCAGATTCAAATTCGTTGACCTCATCGAGATAAAACTGGGAACGACACATATAAGTTAGCCAAAGGTGGTCCTTCTTGGCATGCTGCCGCCTATTCATTGGGAGGAAATAACAGGTCCGACCATATTTACGATAGTAACCATCCATGCGATGGCAGATATCCTTCGACGGCTTCCACTTATCATCATCAAAATTGTAGGCTTCATCATTAACAAAAACGCAGCAGAGAGCAACTCCCACCCACTGACTATCATTCTGAATATTAGGAGACAGTGTTATCTTTAATGAAGATCCATCCTTCTGATGGTTGAACCATTCTGGGATTTCACTTCAAGGTACAAAAATGTCAAAGGCCCGTGTTACATTCACAAATACCTGGAACAAAAAAAAAAAAGAAAAGAAAAGAAAACCCCGTTGATTGGAAACTAATACATTAAATTCTAGAAAGTGAGATTCAGTGAGAGAGAGATACCAACCTTAATGTGTTTTTTCAGCATTGTCAATGCATTGTTTTTCTCAGCCAATTTATAGCAGTTAATACCTCTAAATTCACCAAATCTGCCAAAAAGTAAATTGCATTCTATTATTGGATCTGCATCTTCTTCCGGTGACGCACAACCATCTAGGTACACGCATCGTACGCTAGGGAGACGCTTAGGCAACGATTTAAGCTTCCTGCAATCTACCAACTCAAGAAGATAAAGCTTGGAAAGTCGACTAAGAGTTTCTGGAAGGCAGATGAAATTGTTACCACTAAGATAAAGTTCTTTCAAAGAGGACAAACAAGCAATATCATTAGGAATATCCCCAAGATTGCAGTCACTCAGATTCAGCTTTGTCAAAGAACTCAAACCTGACAAAGGAGGTAACATCAGAGCCATGGAATCTATACTTCCTCTTGCCAAGAAACGAGAAGGGAAATTTGATCGTAATTTTGATGGTGGTCCCTTGCATCCTTTGAAAGACAAAACTTTCAGATTTTTAAATTGAAAAATGAAGGATGGTGGTATTCTTATGGAAGTTTCACTTAAATCAAGCTCCTCCAAAAATTCTACTTGCAGCAAATTCTCTAGCAAAGTTCCAACTTTAGAACAACCAGAGAGATTAAGAGTTTTTAGACATTTGCACCCATCTATGCTGTTTGGGAGACTCGAAAGGTTATTGCAATTTTTCAGATTTAACAAAACAAGATGGCTGAGACGTCCAATTGAAGAGGGAAGTTCTTCAATGCCTGTTCCATCTAAATGAAGCTCCTGCAAACATTCCATTTCGCCTTCAATCTCTGGAAACCTTTGAAGATTTGAGCAGCCTGAAAGAATTAATTTATCAAGAGATTCCATTCCAATTTTGTTTGGAAGAGACCTAAGACTTTTGCAGCCTCTTAAATTCAAAAGTTTAGGCTTGCTTTGAACACCGAGATTAACATCAACTAGTCTGGTACAATCTTCCAAAATCAAACTTTCGAGATTTGGTGCCGTTGTGCAATCTGGTGCCTTGATCAAGTTTTTGGAGCCTTGAAGGTTGACTAATTTCAATTTAGATAAAGGCTGTTGAAAACAATAATAAATTAGAGAGAAAAGACAAAACAATCGGAACTCTTCGTTTTATTATTATTTTCATATCTTCTTCAAATTTTTTATAATTAATCTTAGAATAAGCTACAAGACAAACATCAAATTAATGAAGTGTTTGCCTTCCATAGATGTTCAATGTGGCTATTGGGTAGGAGAAGTGCAACAAGGTTGTCTGGTTGGAAGCTTGAAGGCAAGGATCTGAAAGGATATCCACTCCAATCTAGAAGCCGTAACTCATCAGAAATATATTTGAGATCTTGAGAATTCAGTCGATGAAAGACTTTGAGCATTCTTAATACATGGTTTTCTTGTTGGAAGCTTGAAGGCAAGGAGACTCTGAGCAATCTTAATCTTTTCATCTTCAAGAAGGCATCAGCATTCAAAGTGAAGGTCTTGCTCTGTTCCCTGAAAAACAAGAGCAAAACAAAAATGCCGAGTTTCAAAATACGCCAAGCCTTCAACACTTGAGAAAGCAAGCATAATATTCAAGCTTTTCTATCTTTTCTTTTTTCCTTCTAAAATACTCAAAACTTTTTTAGTTAAAACAACCAAATTTTTTATCACACGATTTTTTTGTTTAACCCTCCAAAAAGCAAATAAGTCTTTAAGTTTAAATGGATAACTAACCTTTGAACATATATAATTCTGACTTTATTAAAAGAACTACAATAAAAAAATTTAAAGGATGTAATGCAAGGAAATATTAATAATATATATGATCTAGCAACCATGGTTCAAAAATAAGTCAAGTTTAAGTAATACTATATGTACATCAATACATGTATATGTATATGTATGCCTTTGTACCCTTTACTATTGATGACCATGCCTTCAATTGCTTCCGTAGCCTAAAAATCAAAAGAGTGAAGGATAAGGAGACATAAAATGCACGGTGTAACAAAATTAATAGCTAAATTATAAGAGGAATGGACTAAAACGAGACATAATACTAAAGATTTTAAATGGTTAGGCTAATTCTAAAATAAAGCTTAACAGTTAAGACTAAAAGAAATTAGTTTGATCTTATTTAAATTAACACGAGAAATTTAAATAGAAAAATGCATAATTTAACTATAAAACTATACTGCAAATGAGGCTTTGTCTCAAGTTGCATGTATCATTATGTGTAAGTTTTGATCCAATTTCATTATCTATTTATTTGATTTTTTATATGAAATAAAATACTTAATTGTGATTTTAACTTCATAAAAAAAATTATAAAACTATAATAAAATATACACTTAAATAGTCTTATTTTATTCTGGCCAAAAAAGTAAAGTTATTTTATAATAAATGAACTATAATAATCTTATTCTTTCATATATGCAAGAATACTCATACGTAATCCCAAAGTTTTGGTTGTATATATATCCAAATTACAGAATCTTAACTAGTAACATATATACTTGTTAATAATTTTTCATGGTAATTAATTTATCATTTTAAGTAGAGCCCAGATTTTAAATAAATAAATAAATTAATATGCAATATTTATAAAATTTCCAATTTACAATGTTGAAATTATTTACATCCATATACAATGCTGAAACTATATATAAGTGTCCTATGAACCAAAGCATCTTGATAAGAAAAAAAAAACCACTTTACATATTTATAAATTAAACCATTTTAATCGAAGTTTCAAAATTTTAATTTAAAAAAGGAGTTCATATTGCAGACTTGAACGTATTATCAACTCGGTTATTTTGACATTCGAGGAGACTAAGAAATTTCTCACAATCATTGATTTCAAGTATTGTAAATTCTTTCACGAGCATATTTACACATCCAGCCATAGAGTCATTAAATTTCTTTGAGCAGCTTTCTCACCTTCATCGACGTCTTGAACACCACCTTTTACCATGCAACCTACCTGAGCACCATCCATATATGCTTTACATGCCACAAGAATATCATCAGCACGCCTGTAGAAATGGCCCACAACAAAGTCCTCAAAATGCTGCAGCCAAACATGATTTTTTTTAGAATTTTAAGCCAAAGAAAAGCAATGGTAATTATACATTCTAACTCGCATTGTGGAACAAAATTTTCTTATATTATCATCAATATCAATATCTTAGTGCAAGTGATTAGTACCACATTGAATAGATCATTGTCTTCACTGACAAGATAAATGTATCCTCATTGTAATGCCGGGACAATAATTCCCCTTTTGATGTACCATTATGATGTGCCAAACCAGGCTCGTTAAATTAGGGCTTCTGATTCAAGATTAGAGCCTAAATACATACCAGAACTTGGAGCATGGTTGACATACCAGGTATCCACTTCTCATTCTTATAACCAGACCAAATGTTAAGAAGACTAAGAAATACTTTGCCACAACTATACAAATTTGGATTGAGCAGAAGTCCACCAGAATAGATAGTATACATGCTGAAACAAGCAATTTCCTAGTCATCAAACCAAACATGTATACCAAAAGATATAATCATAAAAGATGCAAGATAATATTTCAAATTCATAACCCTCAATTACAAACTGGTGGTACTTGAGGATGGCTAGCAGGGAAGAAAACATCAAAGAAAAAGAGACCATCATGGTAGGGGGTGCCCTCTGCTCCTATAATTACAGCCCTTAAGAGATCCATTCTTGATTCGTAAACCCTAACAAAAATAGTATCTGTTGAGACAAAAAAAAAAAAGAGATAAACTAAGAAGCAATATTATTTATATATTTCATCGGCAAAAGAGGAAATTGTTACAATCACAGTGGAAGATCTCAGCTGTTAATATTGCATCCAAAACTTAGTGTGCATTTTAAGTCACAATTCAAGTTTGTTTGCAGTATTCACTAAACAATGATTTTATTGAAATGCGATTGATAAAAGAAAGAAAGAGTTATCAAATGAAAATTCTCTTGGAGTAGGATGAGTAGGATATAATGCTTAAAACTCACCGGTAAATCTTTCTCAAGTATTTTCCACTCCTCCTGAATCTTCTTTGATGGCTGTCACAAACAGAATTTAATAAAGACCAATTTTATTGGTTGAAAATTAGGAATATCACAACAAAGAAAAGGAAGAGCTTAATATATCTTGAAAAGCTAGTCACCTGCTTTGTTGAAGCATCAGTTGAAGCATAGTGATGGTCTGAAAAATCTTCAACAGTATCAAACTATTTAAATAGTTGGAACTTACTGAGGATATCTTCTTCATTTACATTTCTCTGATTTCTGATGTCTGCCACTTCTTAAGGAGTTACATACGTGGCATCAACTGGATCAGGAAAACTTGAATAGATATTATGCTTATAGAAACTATATTTGGGCTTCATAGGTGGTAGCCACCGAGACATGGATGGTTCCGCATCCACAGTGTGATTTAGTTGTGCATCTACATTCACAGGAAAATTTGAATGCAACAAACTACTAGCTCCAATTTGGCTCTGTATAGCAGACTTAAAATGATACCAAAAAGCTGGAGCTACTGCACGAGGGAGCATCAACAGTCGATGAAATGTTTCCATAAGAAGTTTTCTTTTTACTCTCTGAAAAATCTGCAAACCAAGGGATGGATGCCTCTACTCCAGCAGGAATATCAACATAATCAAAATGTGCTTGCAACATGGAAAGGTAATAGTTACCAAAATAACTCATCATTATAAGCCAAATCACAATCCAGGTTAAATATATTATTTGATCCTTGGGTAGAATTCTTAGAAGGTTCAACCTTGTTTATTTAACTAAGAGATTTAGTCACAAAGCCCTGTATAGAAAATGGGGAAAAATAAACAACCAAATTATAGGTCCACTTGTGCATTAAATTTGATGCTAGGCACAATAAACAGAAATCACTACAAAAACACTTCAATCTCTCAGATACTTCTGATTGAACAGCACTATACACAACCAGAGCTATTTTTTACAGCCTTCCCTTTTTTTCGTTACATCAACTCTCTCATCAAGGATCATTATATCAGTCGAATCTTCATATTTATAAACATCAATTACTTCATGAATAACAACCTGCCAATACATGAAACATAAATTTTCTAGTAATGCATCAGATAAGGAAGATTTTTCTCAGAGCAAAAAGAGTGATGTGAGAAACCAGTTAACAAAACATAGCTTGATAAAGAATCATTTAAAGAATGTGAGGCTTTGCTAAAACCATGTTGTCTCTATTTTTAACAAGGCACGCCTATTGCAAGGACAAATAGTATATGAAAGTTGGTTTTGGTTCATGGATGAATATGAGTTCAAGTGAGAACACATGCTCATTTATCACCGACTTCTTTACCAAGCACGCCTACTGCATGGACGAATAGTCTGGTTATTTTAAACCCCTGCAGCAGGGGCCAAAGGAAGGACCCATTTTTGCAAACTGTTCATTAGGGCACTTCCAAGCAATTGTTCCCTGACAAATAAGGGCAGAGGACACTTAACTGTCGCCACAGTTGCCACAACAACTACTGCCTTCTATTATTAGTTCAAAGACCAAATTTCAAAAAAAAAAAAAGAAACAATAAATTTGGCAACTTTAAAGTAACATGATTGTAAGAACGTAGTCACAAGTCCCAACGTACAGTAATTACTGAACTCATAAGTTTTCAATATGAAAATCCAAAATTTAGCTCCTTTAAGCCCTAATAAAACAATACTGATTATGATCCAAGCAAAAAAAAATCAATAAAACTCCAAAATGAATCGATCAATTAAAATTCCAATAACAAAAGTAATAGCCAAAGCAATCACTTTATTTATTCGAATTCAACATTCAAAGATATGATATTTCTATAAAAAAGAAGTTAAATGAACAAAAGAATGAGGAAGGAAAATTTTGAAAATAAAAATTTCAAGCAATGGCAGGCCAATGGGCTGTGGCAGTCTTTGGGTCTATGCAGGGTATACTAGACTTAGATTAAATATCTTTTGGGCCGAATT